TGCAGGTTCAATATGTCCAAATCCAAATTTTACCTTTTTTTTTTTGCCCACCCCTGGATATAACTGTTTTAAAAAGCGCAAGACCGGGATTCTCTTGGTCTGAGAGCTTACATCTAGTTAAAAATATAATTTCCCCTTCAAAATATAGAATTCTAGCATTATTATAAGACTAAAATGTTTACGGTTTTGTACCTTATTGTTCCTGTAATTTGTTTTATCTTTCTTTCAAAATATGTGAATACAAGGTATTAATATGTCATGTTCTGTAATACTACTTTAAAAATTCAAAATAAAAAGTTTTTTTAAAGTATCCCTCTCAGAATTTGCCCTACTTCGCCCACACCAATTATAATATTTCCATTTGAAGTTCATTGGGCTTCACCGAGAAGTAATTAGAATTGAATGCTAGCTAGTTAAGGAATATGTACACTTCTCTTCAGGCAAGATAAACATGTTTTTAAGTAATACTGTAGCAAATACAAAATTGTCACTATAAAACCCTGTAACTTTAAAAAAAAAATACAGTTACGTCTCTAATCACCAGCTATGTAACTACCAGCTATGGGTTTAATTACTTCTTTCACTTACTAAATACCCCAAGGAGTTCCAGTGAGCCAGTACCAGTAACTGAATTACACAGACTGTGAAAGAAGGTATAAACAGAGGTCGATTCGGGGGGGATTGCGGGGGATTGCAGTTCCCCGGGGTGAGATGCAGGGGGCGGGGCACATGACAAAGCCCTGCCCCCTGCTTCCGGCTGCCCCACTTCCGGCCCTCATTCAGCCAGGAGGAGGCAGGAGGAGCATAAGTTGCTTCCTCCCCGCCTCTCCCCACCCCTGCCTGCCTGGGGCCAGGGAGGGCCTTGGTGGGGCTTCCTTGCACTCCCGCCGGCCTTGCAGGTCCACCGCCGAGCCCCTGATGTCAGGGGGTGTGGCATATGCTAATGAGTTATGCTAATGAGTTCCCCTAGCTCTTTTTCTACGAAACAACCCCTGGGTATAAATATATCCCCATCACATTCATGAAAATAATATGGACTGTAGACACATAGGAACCCATCAGGCTCCACTGCTCATTCTGACTTTGAAATTATCAACAGACAGAAAAAAAATATTCAGGGCAGACAGCCATAATCATTGAGAGTTTCATGAGGGTTTTCTATATGACTATATGCCTGCACCTTTCCCATCTCAATACCCAATGCTCTCAATATCTCTTGCTGCATATCCCTTCATGCAAGTCAGTGAGAACATCCTCCAAACAGAGCTTTTCTGTCTGGGACCCACATATCTTTGGGGCTACCTTCTCTGGTATATCCACCAAAGAGCATATGCTCTGCTGAAAACAATCTTCTGGTCGTCCCTGGCCCCAAGCACATCCGACTGTCCTCAACCAGAGGCAAGGCCTTCTTGATCCTGGCTCTGACCTGGTGGAACTCTCTGCCACATGACACCAGGGCCCTGTGGGACTTAAAGAAGTTCTGCTGGGTCAGCAAGGCATAGATGTTCCGCCAGGCTTTTGGTTAAGAACAGCAATGGGTTTTATCTGGCTGGCACTCCCCCCTTTCTCTTTTCCATCCTTTTCTTCTGTCTCCTCCTTTCCCTGCCTGCGAGGTGACACAGTCCAAAACTGGTTGAAGATAAATTCATGTGCCATCTGGGGATTGTTTTATAATTGTAATGAGTTTAATGTATACTATAATTGTAACACTGTTACCAGAGAAGACCCTGATGCTGGGAAAGGTAGAAGGAACAGACGGGGATGGCAAAGGATGAGATGGCTAGACAGCATTATTGATGCAATGAACATGAAGTTGAGCAGACTCTGGAGGATGGCGGAGGACAGGAGGGTCTGGCATGGTGTGGTCCATGGGGTTGCGAAGAGTCAGACTTGACTGTGCAACTGAAGAACAGTACAATGTATTTTATCTTATTGTTGTTCATTACCCAGAGCCATGTGAACTCAGGCATTTGGTAATCCATTAATTCAAAGCATGTATACAGGTATAAATAAATAAATATTTCTTGCATGTTTGAATGAAGGTCAGAAAATTTAAGGATACACTTTTTAGTTGGGCTGTTGCTGCTGGTAATTAGTTATCATACTTCGCTTTTTATTATTTGTTTGTTGATTGATTCTTGTTAAAAAAATGTAGATGTATATGATTTCATCTTATAATTTGGATTTTATAAGCTGCTTTGAATCCCCAAGTGGGAGAAAATATGGAATACATGAGAACACTTTGTAAAACTAAATAAATACATATTTTAAAATGCATCTGTCATGACCCCAGGGGGTCTCCACCTTCCGCCGCCACCACCCTGGACTTATGGTCCCTTGAGAAGGCCCAGGGTACCCTCTCAAGCTCATACAACATGGCCATTTACAGCTGAGAAATCACAGGCGTGGTTGACCCAGGCAGAGAAAAAAAAATTAAACAGAAAGGGTTTATTAAAAGCAATACTGGGGCATGGAAAACAAGACAAGGCAAGGTGCTTTAAAAGGGTATAACAGTGTGAAAGGCAAAATAAACATAAACTAATGTGGCTACCTGTTTCTACTTCCAGGCCCACAGCCTGCCTAGCACTCACGCTGAGCCAAGTTGAGATCTTCCTCTCTCCCAGACCAGCCTGTCCTCACAGACCAGGCAGCAGAGAGGGACGGAAAAACCCTCCGTTTTCCACAGTTAATGGTGAAGACAGACTCTCCTCACACAGTATCCAACAGTCTCCTCAGAGAATCTTCCTCTCTGATTGGTAGAGTTGCCAAGTTGAATCTTCTTACTGGCGGGGGAGCCTCGCCGGGCTCCGGGAGCTCTCTGCTGATGCGCAGAAGTGATGCATGACGTTGATCACGTTGAGGGCGTGGCCCCGATCGTTGGAGGGAAAACCATAGAGTTTTCCCTCCGACGATTGAGGCAGCCCTACTGATTGGCTATAGCTCATTGCTAAGCCTTATGGGGACTGTAGGCTGTCTGTTCACTGCCATGCAGGTCTCTCCTGCGACCAGGCCACACCAGGCCCTGCTCCTAGTCCTGCACAGATCATGACAGCATCTATATTTGAGAATCAAATTTAAAAAGCTATACAATCCTATTATCTCTTGACCTTCCTGTTCTGTATATTTTCACACATAACCCCCCCCCCAGGATTTAAGATTCCATAAGGATTTGACATTATTCTTGAAAGGCATGCCAAGAGGGATACTGTCAGGTATTGTTCTAAACATCCTTACAGATGCTCTAGGGAGTATCGGAGAAACTGTAAACCTGTGAGTCACAAATGTGTGGATTATTTTGTCAGAAACATCAGTGAAACAGGATTAATAAATCTCCAATTGGAAACCGGGGAGGGGGAGGGGGACCCTGCTTGGATGGTGACCAGATTACTATATTTATTGTTTTAAAAGAAGGAGTGAGTCAGATCTTTACCAACTATGCCAAAGACAGAGACAGTAATAGGACTGAGAGAATCACAATACAAAACAATATATCAAAGGAACCATAAACTATTGTGATAAGATTACAAAATACTTTTACTAACATAATACACCATATAATATCAAAACACCATAGTTGTGTTGAAACAAACATACAATAATCCTCTTGTTTATAAGACTATAAAGTCTTTTAATATGCAGAACTGTTTCTGAAAATAAACTGTTTTCCAAACTCCTATCTTGTTACTTGTGGATAGTAGCATACTTGCATGCTTGCATGTGTGACCAGCAGTCGACTATTTGCCAGTTTCACAATGGTTTCCTCAAGCACACAGACCAGTTAATTCCACAATAGAATGCTGGCTCCAATAATTCAGAAAAGCTTCTTTGGGACACAAAAGCCTCCAGACCAATTTTCAAAAGGCAAAATGCTTAAGAGACAGGACAGGATGTTATAAATGCCTTCATTTTTGGCATTGCAAATCCCCACATCATCCTATAATTCATGACAATTTTGCATATGTTTAGGTTTCTTTTGGGATGAGCTATGCCTCTCACAGAAAACCTTTTTTTCCCATTGAAGTTGGGGAGTCTGACTTTAATGCAGGCCACAATGGTCCAATTCCTTTTGTTTGGGGCACTGAGCAACTGCAGGATTGCAGCTCCCATCATAATTCTGAAAGTACGGGCCAGTTTTGATTCTATTTAGCTCTATTTTCTGTCTAGCTCTATCTAGCTCTATTTTCAGATGAGCTATGACTGCCTCAGTAAACCATGGTTTCTAAACCTGAAAGGGGGTGGGATAAGATTTCTGAAGATTACATGATCCAAAATGCTGTGGTGACCTTTGTGGTTGACACTGCAACTCCCAAAATCATTCTGAAGTGACTAGCCAATTTTGAGGTTTCTCGCTTTTCCCCCAGATGAATAAATGATCATTTCCAAAGGAAAATCTGAGGTTCCAGGGATTTCATGGGCCAGGATGTTTTGATTCTCAGGGGCGGCCTGAGTTTTTTTTGCACCCTAGGCGGGGCTACCTTCTGGCGCCCCCCACGCACCCAATTATGGGGTTGCCAACCTCCAAGCAGAGCGTGGAGAGAAGGAAGTCCTACTTCTATCCCCCTTTAGGCGAGCGAGGAGGAGGAGGCGAGGTTTCCGGGCACCCAAACCAAAACACCCCACATTTGGATTTACAAAAGCCGACCCCAGGCGGAGGGGGAAGGCAAGGCGGCCTTGCACTCCCCTTTCGCGCCCCCCATGCCACATGCTGGGAGCAGCAATAGCACATGGGCTTCTGGCAGGGGGGGAGGCACAGTTCGGCACCCCATCCAGGGCCCGGCGCTCTAGGCGAATGCCTAGTTCACCTAGTGGGTGAGCCGGCCCTGATTCCTGTTAGGCAGTGCAACTCCTATGGTCATTCTGAATCCAGTTGCCAAATGTCGAGACTCCTATGCTCATATTCAGATTTTCTCTTGAATTATGCATGCATCAGACAGACAGCAGGATGGATGGACAAATTAATTCTTCTTTGCAGATTGTAGGTGTTAACATAGTTCTTTATATTACTCCTCTTTTCTTCTTATCAGCTGTTCCCTGTTGTTCAACTCAGGCCGCAGCATAATAATGAAACATTTGGGGGCAAAGATGCAACCCAGAAGGCCAGCGCTGGAGGCTAAGATGGAGAAGATCTCTACAGCCACCATGGATTTTCCCTTGGTGCTCAGGTAGGTGGGAACAAAAGACATCCAAACACTGCAAAAGACCAATAGACTGAAAGTGATAAATTTGGCCTCATTAAAACTGTCTGGTAACTTCCTGGCCAAGAAAGCTACCACAAAGCTAACAATGGCCAGGAAGCCCATGTAGCCTACGACACAGTAAAACATGATGACAGACCCTACATTGCATTCCAGTACAATGGATTCAGTCTTTGAGTACACGTCAACGTCCGGAAATGGGGGTGAAGTTGCAAGCCATGCAAAACAAAGGGCTGCTTGGAAAAGGGAGCATGAAATCACAATGGTGTTGCCCACTCTTTTCCCCACCCAGTTCCTCAGGCTGCTTCCTGGTTGGATGCTTAGGAAAGCCAGAACCACCATGACTGTTTTTGCCAGAACACAAGAAATGGCAACTGAGAAGACCATGCCAAATGTGGTTTGTTGGAGGAGACATGACACCAATTGTGGCTGACCAATGAATAGCAGAGCACAAAGGAAGCACAGGAGGAGGCAGATCAGGAGAGCATAGGTGAGGTTCCTGTTGTTGGCTTTGACGATGGGGGTGTTGTGGTGCTTCATGAAGACTCCTAGCACCAAAAGCGTGATGAAAGAAAAGGAAAGGACAAAAGTCACTAAAGTGATCCCCAAAGGTTCTTCATGGGACAAGAAACTGACATCTTTGGGAATGCATTGATTTCGTCCCCTGTTTGGATAGTGGTCTTGTGTACAAGTCATGCACGCAAGCAAGTCTGTAAAACAGAAAAGGGGAGAGAAGGTGGGTTCGCTTCAGTGTCCCATAATTGTTCTCATAACCCATACTTTTAGAGGATCCTTTGATGGGGATTACAGCATCTGGATAGTCCCATAGACAAGCACATGATTTATTTATTTCACTCTCCTTTTGAAATACGGTACTTCACTATTGCTGGATTAGGATTGTGAGGCCCATTATGCCATAGAAACTCACTAGAAGACCTTGGGACAGGCACTATCTTCCCCAGGCTAACCAAGCCACAGTTTTATGCTGAGGGTAAAGAAGAGGAGTGGAAAATGAAGTTGGTAGCTTGTTTGGGTCACCATTGGAGACAAAAGCAGGGATATAAATATCTAAAAAATACTATAAATATTACCTGGAATTACTTATATCTATGAACAACAAATGTGTATAATTTCCACCACTCCCAACATCATTATCCTCATGTATATCATTACATCCAAAACCAAATCAAATTGAATTGTTTTTAATTCATTCATTCATTTATCTACTGATCTATATATTTATGTATTCTACAACCTGCCTTTCTCCCCAGTGGGGACCGAAAACAGCTTACACCATTCTCTTCTCTGCCCTGTTATCCATACAACAATCTTCCGCATTAGGTCTGGCTGTGAATGTGTGACTGGTTGAAGGTCACCTAGCAGGCTCCCCTGGCTGAACAGGGATAAGTACCAGGGTTTCCCCAGGCCTCCTCCAGCAATCCAAGTACTGCACCACTCCAGCTCCCTTCTAACCTTTGAAAAGTGAAACCATGTTTAGGACTGGACTGTAAATCTCTTACCCTTCTGATTGGAAATCTTCCCTTCTGGACATGGAAAGCAGTCATAGCAGCAGAATGGCTCCCCCTCCTTCATTCTCTTCCAAAAACCTGGAAGGCAACTTTCACTGCAGACTGAAAGGGGCTGTGTCTAATGTACAAATGAGACAGGAAAACCATCAATCAGCAACAAATCTAAAATTGTGCTCTGTTTGTTTCTCTAGATTTTTAATGGTCAGTGGCCTGGAATGTCCACTTCTCATCTGTGGTGTGCAGTACATTTAATTATCTCACAACCGGATGCCTTATCTTTAAGTAGAAATAAGGCCCGTTGTGGAAATAAATACAATGGGCAGGTGCCCTGGCCTTGGGCACTCAGTGTCAATTTGCTGTGGTTACCTCAACAGGGTGTAATGAACAGAGCTTACTATTTTCTCCAGGGGAACTGATCTCTGCCATCTGAAGAGCAGTTATAATTCTGAGTGATCCCCAGCCCTCCCCTGGTTCCCCAGAAGGAACTGGCTGGTTTGAAGGGGGGGGTCTATGGCATTTTGCCTATGTCCCACCCCTCCTCAAACCTCACCTTCCTCAGGGTCCACGCCTCAAATCTCCAGGAATTTCCCAACCTGGACTCGGCAACTCTATCTCCTTCCCAGGCAACTATCAACCTACTTTTATCTGCCTCTCTGACTTCAGCTTTCCACCCCACACACACACACCTGCAGCCTCTACCTAAGAAAACTACAGTCTTTCACTGCAGTGGGGACCCAAGGAGAAGGGAAGCAATCTCAGCAAGGTATAATGATATAGAGTCCACTCTGCAAAGTGGTCATTTTCTTCAGGGGAGCTGATCTCTGAAATATGGAGAGCAGTTTTAAGTCTGAGTGATCTCCAACCCTTACCTGGACAATAGCAGCAATAGTTCCCTAGGAGGAAATGGCTGGTTTGAAGGCATTTGAAGACTCTATGGCATTCTTTTCAGATGAGGCCTCTTCCCTCCCAAAACTCTGGCTTCCGTAGACTCCCCCACAAAATCTCCAGGAATTCCTCATCCTGGAGCTGGCAACCCTAGACAGGACGGGCCCCAATGAGTTCCCCACAAAGGCCAAAGAAGGCCTGGAAAGGGCCTCCTCCCCCTACATTTTACTGACAGAACTAAGCTTGGTTGCCTATCAACAGCCACTGAGGGAAAAGTTAGCCCCACAGCAGGAGGAGAAGAGAATGTTTTGACAGCTGGTGGCCCACCTTAGTAGCCAGCCTGTCACAGGGGAACCAAGCAAAAGTAGAAGCATCTTTGTCAGGAGAGTCAGCCATTTTGGCAGTTTATTCTGTCAGGGAAGATTGCCCAGACTGGCAGTGGGTGGGGGAGAGGAGTGGACCCAGCACCCAGCCAATGGCACATGAGTACTTTTGAGTGGCAGTTTATGGGCCAATGGCTGATGGAGAACACAACACAGTCAATGGGAGAGCTGGAAAGTGCCAATACATTGGGCTTTTATATATATATAGGATTAATCCTACAGGGCTTTTTTCAGATTATGAAAATGATGAAGGTTGAGATCCCCCATCCTTGCTCTTTTCCCACTCTGGGTGATCAATAGGTTTGTACACTCAAGCTTTCAAATGCCTGGAGATTTGATAAGAACGTAAGAGAACATAAGAGAAGCCAATGTTGGATCAGCCCAGTGACCTATCTAGTCCAACACTGTGCCACACAGTGGCCAAAAATACCAGGTGCCATCAGGAGGTCCAGCAGTGGGGCCAGGACATTAGAAGCCCTCCCACTGTTGCCCCCCAGCACCAAAAATACAGTGCATCACCTGCCCCAGCCTGTGAGTTCCTGTCTACACCTTGTGGCTAATAGCCACTGATGGACCTCTGCTCCATATGTTTATCCAGTTCCTAATTGATGATGCCTAGAATGAGTGGAGTGAGGGAAGGGAACATAGGGGAAGGGTGTGATGCCATAGAATCTGACCTCCAAAATTGCCTTTTTTCCCTCCAGGGAACTAATCATGGTAGTCTGGAGATCATTGGTAGTCTTGGCAGAACTGCAGCCCCACCTTGAGGTTGGTAAGGGAGTTGACAGGTTTCAATATTTTACCATTTAAAAAAATATACACAGAGGACAGGCACCTCGATCACACTTTGGTTCAGATCACAATTTATTCACCTATCGTAAGCAGCACCCTCAAAATTAAAAAAAACCCAATAACATCAACTTGTTGTGTCCATCATGGTTCTAAATCAGTGCTTTGAGTGTGGAGTTAGCTGACTAAGGGAGAACAAACTGAAACTGAATCCAGACAAAGCTGGTTGAGAAGGTTGATCTTCTAGAGGGACTGAATCAATTTGTCCTTGTTGGAATAATGTTGGCTTTTCCAGAGCAAGCTAAGAGGTAGGGGGTGCTCATGGGCCCTGCCTTGCTGTATGAAAAACAGGTTGGCTTGGTGACCAGAAATGTTTTCTATCAGCTGATTCCCCAACTCTCCTAATTATTAGGGCTCTTTTTGTAGAAAAAGCCCAGCAGGAACTTATTAGCATAATAGGTCACACCCAACAGCATAAACTCATTAGCCTATTAGGCCACATCCCTGACAGCACAGCTCATTATCATATTAGACCACACCCCCATGTTACTCTAATGGCACAAAGGCAAGAAAGATGTATGGAGTATTTTCTAAAGGACCATTCACAAACTTGCATTAAAATAAAACAAACTAAAATAATTGCCAACAGTATCAGCAAAGAATTACAGATTAAAACAGCAGAACAAAGAGCTACTGCATATCTGCTATGGAAATAATACATTGTAATATTTTACAGTACTGTGGTATTGTGAAATAAGGGATGTCTAACAACTTGATTACTCTTGCTGAACAGAGTGGCATTCAGATGCAATCCCAAATATGCTTACTTGGAAGTACCCCATATTTAACTCAGTGGAACCCCTGAAAATCTATGCATAAAACCAAACTGTACGTACTTCTTGTACATTACTAAAAAAAAAAAATTGTAATGGCCCAATGGCCCACTGCTTTTAACCTAAGGAACATTTTATTGGAAACATTTAGCTGTACAATCTCAGAAGAATATACAGTTGACCAGAGAGAAGTACTACTGGACATGTGATTGCACTGGAGGCTTCATTTGTATTTTTGTATTTCTTTTCTTTGCCCAGTGGTTAAACTTTGGAACAACTGGTTTCTGGTCTTTATTCCATATAAGTATGATTGAATGTATTTTTAGGTTCTGAATTCTAGGTTTAGGTTCAGTTTTTTCCCCTTTTTTCTTCTTTGTCCCACGTCCATCCCTGTACATTGCTGATATCCTAGCAAAAAAAAAACTTGGTATTTCTTGGAGGTCTCCCATCCAAATACTAGCCAAAGCCAGCCCTGCCTAGCTTCTGAGATCTGACAAGATTGGGCTAGCCTGAGCTATCCAAGTTAGGAGGACTCTTACTACATGCAAAATAATTTTTAAAAATGTGATTGTGAGTACATACAACGCATCTGCCACTATTGTACAATCAGTTTAGTGGAAATCTGGAATCTGAGGGCAGGACTGCCATATAAGAGGGTGTGCTTTCCTGTCTCCACAATTCCTCCAGTTGCGCTCCATTCAACATGAATTATTACCAAGTAAACATGCATTTCTTGAGCTAGTAGAGTATCAAGAGCAGAATTTGGAGGGATTTACTCCCAGATAATCATGCACAGGATTACAGCCTTTGAGGAGAACACAGAAAAGCAATCCTCTTTCCCCCCCAAACTGATTGGTCTACTGTAAATAGCAGAAGAAGGACGAGAGGAAGTTGTTTAGTTCCAGGCGAACCTGTAACAGCCCATAGTGCACGTGGAGAGCTTTCCAAGTCAGAAATGATAAGCGGCGTTCTAATTAGAAGGAGGGAGAGAGGCCACCTTGTCACTCTTGGGCGGAGTCTGAAAGCGCTGGCTCAATCCTCTAAAAACAAAATGACCAGCTGTGAGACTCATCAGGGTGTGCCCTTGGTGGGTTCACTTCTTGAAAACAGAGGCAAGGTGGGGGGCGTAGTCCATGGAACTCGCCTCACAAAGACCTGGCAGGAAGCCTCCCTTGCCCTTTGTCAAAGGCACCAACCTGACTAGAGCAGGGCTTTTGGCGAGGGAGGGGTGGGGCAAGGTGGGGAGGGGTGGGACAGGCCCGGGAGCCAGCTGGAACGCCGTTCTGTGGCGTTCCGGCCCCAAACTAGCCCTGCCTATTACCAAGACTCATCTCACCTGGCCATGCTTATCCATGGTTTGTAACCTCATGGCTGGATTACTGCAATGCTTTTCTATGTGGGGGTGCCCTTGAAGACAACCTGGAAATGACAACTGGTTCAGAATGCAGCAGCCTGACTGCCAGCGGCTACCCTGGGGGAATGTAAGTTGCCCATTGTGAAATGGTTACGTTGGCTGCCAGTCTGTTTCCAAGTTAAAGTCATAATGCTGGTTCTGACCTTTAAACCCCTTCACAACTGTGAACACACATATCTAAAAGGCCCTCTCCTTCTATACGTCCCTGTTCACCAACTACGATCCTCAGGAAGCCACCTGTTGGCTATCCCACCACTCAGGGTAGCCTGCCTGGCATTGGCCAGAGCTTGGGCCTACTACATACTGGGTCTGTGGAATAGGCTCCCTGAGTAGGTGACTCCCCCCTCGAAATCTACAGGTGGTGCTGTGAGATCTGCATGTTTGTCAAGGCTTTGGAAGGGGACTAAATGGCAGGCATCTTTCAGAAGGGGGAGAGGAAGGAATCTGGAGATACACACACACATTGTTATTAGGTGGGTTTATTTTTCTTATTATTGTCTTCCTCCAGAAACCAAGAAGGCAAGATGTAAACATTTTAATAAAGATTGGGTTGGCTGCAGCTAAATTTTCCATGCTACCTCACCCAATTCTTATTGTAGCCCCCCATGATCTCCAATATCATCTTTTGTCAAAGGGGAAAGAGGGCACAGAGAGGAGATGTTTAAAAGGGAGGATGATGACTCTCAACCTATTCCTACCTCCTCTAAATTATCCCACAATAGGTATTCCTTCTATTATCCATTTTCAAATGAGGGTTTGCAATTCAATGAAGCACCACTGTGCGTGTTAGCATAAGATCCTTTCTTCACTGGAAGTTTCCATAGATTCTGTAGTCCTCTCCTACCTGGCCAGAGCAGCTGTTCCATGTGATGTCATCATCATTAATGGTAAGCATCTGGTCTGCCGGAGCTTCTGGATGAACCTCTCCAATTTTCACTTTAAAAAAAGACTGATTTGGAAAAGCAAGCCAGTTGATAATATCATACCCTGTTGTGAGTTCTCCACTGGTATCAAATGAAATTTTCTCCCCAGCACTGTTGTTAAATGAGACTCTTTTCAGAAAGCGGTGAAGCTAGATGGAACAGGGAAGAACAATCTTAGCTCACCCGTTCATTGGGAAGCAGTGTGCACTCATGGGCACTCCATGAAATTGCTGAGCGGTCGAGTTAGAACAGATGAAAGGAAGTACTTCTTCACCCAAAGAGTGATTAACACATGTAGTTCACTGCCACAGAAGGTGGCAGGGGCTACAAGCATGGACAGCTTCAAGATGGAGCAGAGGTCCATAAGTGGCTATTAGACACAAGGTATAGATAGGAACTCACAGGCTGGGGCAGGTGATGCACTGTATTCTTGGTGCTTGGGGGGGGCAACAGTGGGAGGCTTCTAGTGTCCTGGCCCCACTGCTGGACCTCCTGGTGGCACCTGGTATTTTTGGCCACTGTGTGACAGAGTGTTGGACTAGATGGGCCATTGGCCAGATCCAACATTGGCTTCTCTTACGTTCTTATGTTCTTATGCTAATATTTGCTTCTTAATAGATTTTTTTCATTCTATTCTTTAATATATTACTTTATTGTAGTTATAACATGCTCAGATTATTTCTGCTCTTTTTGGTGTGTATTAATTTCAAATTTTGTTGTCCTCCATAGGCAGGTGAATTTCAAAGGAAATGTACTGTCAACATTGGGTTCTTTCTGAAGAGCAAGGATTCCTGAACTTGTGGAAAGTTCACACCTAGGTGAGAAGCATGGTAGAATGCAACTCCCAAATTCCTAATCCAGTACTGAGACTGTGATGGAATGAGTCCCACAAAGATTGAGATGATCTTCCTCAGACAATACTAATTAATTGTAATGAACAAATGCTTTACACCATAGAATTTACATCAGAGTTAACAATAATGGTTAAGAGGGCACAAAACTCCTTTTACAAACTAGTAGGTATTGAAAGGAAAAGTGGGATAAGTATGACTCATCTCCCAGCAGAAGAGTCATCCACCTCCACAGATAGGAAGATTGTCCTAGCCCAGGAAGAACAGAAGACAAAAAGATCACACTGAAGACATAGAGCTTGGGAGACTAAATGGAATCAAGATCTTATTGTTTGGGTGGGAAAAGAAAAGCAATAACTGAATTAGGTGGGCAATACAGAAATTTCAAAACCCTTCAACATGAGGAAGATTAGATTAGATTAGAACTAGATAAGCATATGGAGCAGAGGTCCATCAGTGGCTATTAGCCACAAGGTATAGATAGGAACTCTCGGTCTGGGGCAAGTGATGCACTGTATTCTTGGTGCTTGGGGGGGGCAACAGTGGGAGGGCTTCTAGAGTCCTGGCCCCACTGCTGGACCTCCTGGTGGCACCTGGTAGATAAAAAGATCACGCTGATGACACAGAGCTTGGGAGAACAAATGGAACCAAGATTTTCCACTCTGGATGGGAAAAGAAAAATGACTGAATACAGAGATCTCAAACCCTTCAACATGAGGAAGCAGCTCTCCTTCCTCTCTGTATTCTCTTAGCCAGCTTACCTTCTTACTAGCTATTTTCTCACATAAGAACTCCACTGAAATAGCTGCATTACCATGCAGTACTGAATGAATGGGAGAAATACCAAACTGAGACCAAAAATAAAGGATCATTTGTGAAACTTGCAACTCCAAGAATAAATAAGCTATACCTCTTCTATGCATTTTATAGGATATGTACAGTATGGATAGTGGAGCTGCAGTGGCTCAAGTGGTTAAGACGCTGAACTGCAGGCTGTGGAAGGTCGGTAGTTCAGCAGTTCAAGACCCAGGTGCCACATGACGGAGTGAGCTCCTGTCTCTAGTTCCAGCTCCTGCCAACCTAGCAGTTCAAAAGCAAGAAATTGCAAGTAGATATATAGATACCACTTCAGTGGGAAGGTAGCAGTGTTCCGTGTGCCTTGGTGTTTAGTCATGCCAGCCACATGACCACAGAAACGTCTTCGGACAGGGCTGGCTCTTTGGCTTTGAAACGGAGATGAGCACCGCAACCCTAGAGTCGAATTCAACTGGCTTTCGAGCAAGGGAACCTTTACCTTTTTACAGTATGGACATCTTGTTAGAACTCAGAAGATCTGCAGGGTCAGCCATTGTTAGTACTTGGTTGGGTGATTACCAAGAAATTCCAGAATCGCTATGCAAAGGCTGGTGATGGCAAACCATCTCT